CGCAGCATGGGGGACCCGCCGGCGGCGGCGGCGGCGGCCGCGAGCGCGCGAGCCGAGGACATCGAGGTGCTGGAGCCCGCCGACGCGCTGCCCATGGCCGCGGAGGACGTGAGTGCCCGGTGGAGGGACCTGGGCTGGGGGGAGAGGAGCCGCGTTCTTCCCAGGGATGCTGAAGCGCCGTCGCGGGTCGGGAGCTGTCCCTGGGGGCCCCCAAATTCTCCCCGTCGCCCCCTCCTCTTGGTAGCCGCCCGCCCCCGGGGCCAGGATGGCAACCGGGCTGCGTCTCTGGTTGACGGCTCCTTCCCCGCGACGTCTCCCCTGCCCCTAAGGCTGCTGCGGGTCCCAGCGCCGGGGGTCCCGGCTGGATGCGACGCCACTAGGGACAGAGCAGGTGCTGGGTCAGGCCCAAGCGCAGGGAGTTCTCGAAGGTCTCTTTCTGCACTTCCTTCTAGGTTTATAACACTGTATAATCCTGCACTTTATAATCCTTCTAGGTTTCTGCACTTTATAATCCTGTTCTTTCTGAACCAGATGTGTCCAACTGCTCAAATTACGCCCCCCCCTCTCCCCCCCAATGATAACGGTGCCCTTAGCAAGCAGAATCTTCCTCTCTTTTGGAAAATACCTGGCCTTGAATTACTGACTGCTGACGAGGACTTTCCCCATAGAAAATGCTTCACAGGCAGCGTGGAGATGACCCTGCATTCTTTGTGAGCCTAAGGAGTGTTGTATGTTCATTAATTCACTGGGAGTTGTGGGTGTGCAAGGAAAACAGGATCTTCCTGCCCCTTCTACCCTTGCAATGCCCCTTAGCTGAGGGAAGCAAAGGCTCTTTTCCTGTTCAACTGATAGAGGAGACTGAAGCAGGCAGATGGCAGAGGGCACCGGAAAATTATTCTTCCAAGGCACATGGGCCATCAATAAGAATGAAAGTAAAATTTGTGAAGTCAGGACAAAATAACCTGAGCGCCCTCTGATGTCAGAGGGGACGCACAAAAATCCTAAAGGCTTTCTCTTCTGAAAACATTGGCAGGTTGGTTTTGCAGTCGGATCCTTTCCCAAAGGGCAGGAAGCAAAGCAGAAGTATTTGGAAGAGCTGTGTTCCCAGGTCTGAGCAATACACTTTAGGAATCCAGCTGGAAACATTAAGATCATTTCATCTGACCTGTGATACAACACAGACTATACGGCTGAGTGAAGCCTGTTTGAAGAATATAGAGAGAGGAGAAACCCCATATGGATGATTCTTCCATGTAATATTAAATCCCTGAGCCCCCAGCACTTATTTGTCTTTGATTGTGTTTTCTGGTCCCTCTGGTTAGTGCAGTACTTGCATAGCTGGATTTCAAGAAAGAGTTTGTGTTTCCTTTCCCCAGTGGAAGAGATGCCTCTGAGCTGCTGTCGTCTATAGTAGAGTCAAGTCATTAGCAGTTTGCTCCAGCAAGGAGCTCAGCAGCTTCACCTTGAGTTCAAGTCAGTAGAGGCTGAAGGTGCTGAGCAGGGAGAAAAAGGATGGAGTCTAGGTTAATGCACACGACAGTACCTAGATAACGGGTCTCATCCTGCCGTTGTACATGACCTTGGGCGTAAAGCATTTGGAGCCTGACTTAACCCCACTCATATCAAGAGAATCACTCCAGTGAATTCAGTGGGGATTCGATCTGCCTTTTTCAGCTCCTTTTCCCCATCCGTAAAATGGAGATAACTTCCACCTACCTGCCAATGGGGTAAGAGGCTTGTTTCACCAGGGAAGAGGGTGGCCCATCACCATCCCTGAAAGGTATCATTTATGTGCAACCTGTACATGAAATGAGAGGGAAGATGGTATAAATGTCTCTCCTGCCTGTTCTCGGTCTGTAATTTTAGGCTAGCAGACTGCACCTTATCATCTTTGAGAATTAAAATCACTTTGTGCAGGGAGTACACAGGACCAAACTGGAGTTCAGTTTGGAAACCCAAGGTATGCTCCTTAGCTTGTCAGACAAGACCTGATCCGCAATCAACCTTTATACTTTGTTACCCATTGGAGAAGTGGGGACTGTCCACTTGCAGCTTTGCCGTGATGTCATTACCGTGTTCACAGTGACATTAAATGAAGACAGGATTTGAACAGAGTCCTGTTGAAAGCATTAGGCAGATTTACCATGATGAATGGGAGTTTAGGAAGAAGACTCATGCAAAAAATCCCCGGCCTGAGCAATCAGTGGGAATCTAGTGAATTAATGTGCAAACTATGCCCCGTCCCATCAATTTTTGGGCTTTGCCTACCACATGTAATGACATACTATTCACTCTCTATGTAAGCTCTATTTGACATAAGATAGAGCAGGTGCTTTTTTATGTAGAATCCAGTGCTAATTTTTTCCCATTTGCTGTGTTAGGTGAGTGAGTGAGAGATGCACATCGAGAGTGCTGTACGGTGGTTAGGGATCAGGGGGTCAAGCGCCCTTCTGGCTCTACCTTTTCTTGGGACCCTGCAGCAGGCGTTACCGTGTCCCACGAGCAATGCTACATGGACACTTCAACCTGCTTGCCCTGCCCTGAACAATGGAGGGAGGGCATTCTTTTATGTCAGATTGGACACTTCAATAGGGAGTGACATGTTACTTGTGTTCCCTCTGCTGGGATGGAGCGTGAGCCGGATGGGATGGGTGGGGAGAGCTTTAGAATCCAAGGTAGTCCAAAATGTGAAACGTGGTTGCTGATGGGTGTCATGAAAGACTCTGAGCCTGCTGAAGGCTGTGTAAGCACTAAGCACGGACTTGCCATGTGCAAGGGGGACTCTTATGCACGCATATCTGCGTGCATCCAGATCATGGGGCAGCTCTGATGCCATTGGGCAGATTTAATAACTGTCCTTAGCACTTGACCTTTCCAAAGCACAGTGTGTGTGTTAATCCTCAAAATGAGTCCCTCTCTGTGAGAACTGAAACTGCCCCTCCTTCACCTTTCACAGATGTGGACATTAGAAGTAGGGAGGCTGTGACCTGCTCCAGGTTTTGCAGTGCATCACGGTTGGTATTGCATGACGCAGCATGAACACCTGGCTCTTGGTCCATGTGCCCCTTTGGTTATTTGTCTAAGTAGATTTCTTAGATGCATTCTAATATCATTGCTCTTATACGTTTTTTTCTTTTCTTTTTTTCCTTCTTCATGCATTGCCTCTTACCTCTCAGCACTGGAAAGCTCTGTTCGATCAGGTATGTGAACAATGCAGATATGTTGTCACTCTTTGTCCGGTAAGCAAGGCTCTAACACCTGCTCGCTCTCCTTTGTGTGTTTCCCTGCTTTGCATTTTGTTGTCAAACTAAGTGTTAGTATATGGGCCAGGTGAATCCAGTTCCTAATGGGCTGGTATCCACATCTTGGTCACCACTGCTACTTGCATTGGCAGCCCCCAGAGCACCCACAATATGGAATGGGTTCTGGACACTGAACTTCCTACTAGACCCGAGTCAGAGCCGAGGCATGGTGTGGGCTGGGGGGTTATACTTGCAGCCAGTTGTGATTTTGCTGCTCTGTGGATGGAACGACTCTCTTGCAAGTCAACAGCTTCCAAATGATCACTGCATGCTTTGGGCTAGATCCTCAGCACAAGGATATTGCTTGCTATACCCACATATTCCAGCAGAGGACCTAATCCTTTAACTTCCAAAAAAAATGTTTCCATAATTTTATCAACTAAATATAATGAGTCAGACCCTCTGGGGGTTTAAATTGCCATAGTTCCCTGGAAGTGGATCAGTCCAGGTTGATTAATACTGGTTGAGAATCTCGATCCTAGAGTCTAGTTTTTTAAATGATGCTTTTAGATGTTTTTCCTAGCATAGCTGCTTTGTGACATTCATTTTGGCTGTCAGGCTGAGATGCTAAGTACATATAACAAAAAAGGGTTTTTGTGGGGGTTTTTTAAGGGCTGGCTTGCTCCTAAGCTGTATTGCTATCTTCATGTCCTAAACTTTTGCGCTTCTGTATGTGTGAGCACATAAGTATCCCCATCTGTAAGTGAGCTGTTACTCTTCCCCGGGCATTGCTCTGGCAGTACTAAAGTGCTGATGGGATTTCTTCAGTGCTTTACGAGTCAATAACCCTGCTCCTTGAATGTGGAGAAACTGCAAAACTGAAGGCTGTGGTACAGTCGCTCCAGTGGGTGCCCTTCCACTGCGGAGGGTTCAGTTAGCATTCAGCAAATGGTACAACTGCCAGTCGCGATGAGAGTCCATTTATAACCCAGTGAGGTACGATTTCTTATTAATCCATAAATCTGGGCTGAATAGCGTTTGCCATCACACACCATAGTGAAGTGGTGGTTAGAGGGCGCGGGAGTGAGATCCTTTTAATGGTCAGTCATTTAAACCTGCAAAGTAGGTTTTAATTTGTTAGCGTTCCACTGAGTCGCGTCAGCAGCTCAAGTGCCAGCGGAGTTGCTCGTGATTTGTTTCAGCCATTCTGAATTCTTTTTCTCATTTCAAAAGTTTGCCTTAATTTGCCTGATCCTGCCAACTCCCTGGCTGCAGCCTTGGAGCCCCTGCAGGCTGGGGGCCAAGGTTGGTAGCTGCCTCAGGCTTGGAGGGGAACAGGTAGGGGTGCAGAGGACTTGACTGAATAGCAAAGTGTCTCTTTAAAGACCAGTTTGATGGTGGTGGGACTTGTGGAACATTACCCTAATGATGAGGGAAACAGACTGTAAAGCAAGTTCCCAAATAATTAGCCACGTTTCAATGAGGGCTGCAGCTGGAAATTTAAGCCCTGTCCATAAGGCTTTATTATCAGAGAGAATGCAGCTTGTGAAAAACCAGTCCCAAGTCCCAAGTAAATCAATAAAGCCCTTGTTGCCTGTGGGCAAAAGCAAGAGGCTGGCGTCTTCCTTCAGTGTTATATCAGGAAGACAGAAAACCCATTAGCTGCGCAATGAATAGTGAGATGCCGTTCGTCATGAAAAACACTCCGAATATCTAGGAACTCACTGCGTCAACAGAGGGGTCTGTGTTTTGTTTGAACTCTAGCTGGAGTCTGCATGAAACGTGAGCACAATAGAAGGCCCCCTGCTGCAATGGCGAGAGGACATACATGCACTGATGTCCCTGACAGTTACGGCTCCGTTACCATGCAGTGCTAAACACGAGTCCCTCTGCATGTTTGCCTGGAGGTGGAACAGGTGCCTGGGAATCCTCCTGCTGGGCGCGCTCAAATAAGGGAGGAATTGTCCTGCCTGGAGCACTGGCCTCTTAGCTCTCTGATACTGGGTTCAGTGTGGTGGTGTCCTTGCTCCCTGTCTGCCTGTAAATCTCTCCATTCACCACCCTGGGGGAGAGCAGTAGTACTAGTGACTGGAGGGAGCGGGGGTGAGCAAAGCAGAAGAAAACTCTAGGGAGAATGGGAGAATTCACAGTGGGAGAGGTGTGATCTGGGCTGTGATTGCAGGGGTGATGGCATGCGAGGGTCAAGGGAGTGGCTGGAGCCGGTGGTATTTTGTCACCATGTGAAACATCACAGTAAAAACATCTTTCTTCATAATTTGTAAAAACTTCTTTTTGGGTTTCCCCTAAAATTTGCAGGCTTCTTGGTTCAGATGTACAACATTGGGAGGTTCGGGTTTTGTTGAAGACTCGGACATTTCCTATAAAAATATAACTCTTGTGTTTAAAACAAATCTGTTTTTAATCAAAACAGGAGGTTTTAATCTAAAACAAAATTTTTTTTGTTGATGAAAAGCTTTTGGCCAGCTCTGTTCAATCTCACTGCTCACCATAAGTGATCCATGTCAGTGGCCCCTTCTACAGGGGCAAATTGTGCCTCAGACTCCAGGCTGAGAACGCCAATGCTTAGATCTAAGGTCAGCACTTATTAAATTAGGGTTGGCAAGCTGGTCTAATGATTGGCCAAATACTGTCAGTTGACTGGTCAATTGACTGCATATTTTTTGACCAGTCAAAGATTACAGCCATTTTACATAATAACTTTTTTTTTTAAGTGTTCTTGACAAAAATACGATTTTTTAATTGTTTTTGACATATTTCTTTAATGGAATAATTGTGCTTTTTCCGTGTATTATTTGGACCTATTGGCAATTTCTTACAATGTTGGACCGATATTTGACCGGTCAGTTGACCGAACATTATTTGACCAGTCAAATACCCAATTCTAACTTAAATGCATAAAAGATCTAGCCCAGATGGGGGTTCATATCTGACTACTGCTCTGTGAGGATCTAATAAATGTCTCTGGGGTAAAATCCTGGCCTTGCTGAAGCCAATGGCAAAACTGTGCTGAACTCAGTGGTGTTGGGATGTCACCCGTGGATCCTCCTGGAACTGAGCAGCCAGCATTGCAGCTCAACAGTTGAAGTGCAGTGCAGCTGCCACTGCAGGTGCTGCTTTTGAGGATAGTTTTATTTTAGGGACATGGCATGAAGTCACTTTTATATGGTAATTGTACATAGATTCATGCATTTATTTATTGTGCTCGTAAACACCCTCCACCACCACCCAGGCCGTTGCTGTGCATCTGCAGCCTCTTGGGGGGCTCAGTTGCTTCTGAGCTCTTTGCACATTCTTCCCTGTTTTGACTTGAGACTCTGAGCAGAGCCAGCTTGCTCCCTTCCCCCCATCAGGTCTCTTGGCTTTTCCTTTGTAGAGGACCCCTGTTTTTGTTAAGCACAGAGATGGATTATGTGATGGGTGTGACAGCTTTGGGGAGCAGGGTCTGGCAGCGTGAAGGTGGATGTGGCAGTTGTCCTTTGTTTTCCATTAGTAACGATTTGCACTGATTCTCTCGTTCTCATGCAGGCATGAAGGGAGGTTGCCCAGTTCTCATGTTGGGGCAGGGTTCACCTGGTAGTTCCAGTGGAAGGCCTCTTCCCCGATCGGCTGTTATCTCAGGCAGATATTATCTAGCCCTCTTTATGCCTCAGTTATCCCCATTTGGGAGAGGACTATGACTCTGTTTTTGGGGGTTGAAATCCTTGGACGTGAGTGTAACAAAAGACCCACAATTGTGCTTTTCCTCTGGAGTATGGGCTTTTCAGAACCTTATTAGTCAGGATTTGAACCCAGCAATAGTCTGGACCAGACCCCACTTTATCCAAGTCCCTGCCATTTAAACTACCCAGAACAGGGGTTCCTCGTGTTGGCTTCCCTCCTTCAAGTTCTCCCTTCCTCTTGCCCATGGCTTGGAGACTATCTCTAGTGACTTGTTTGTGTAACTATGCATTCAATAGACAAGAAGCTCTTCGCTAGACTGGCACGTCGCGGTTCTCTTTTGGTGCAGCCTGCATTTTGCATGGCAGCATGGATTCCTCTCTGAATTTGGTGCGTGGGTGGGATGGTAACAGATGAGCAGAGATTACCAAGAATCTTGAGACGTGCAAAATTAAACTCTGGCTGTGTGGGCACCTAGTGGAAAGCCAAGGCTCAGTAGCAACACTACCGAGACATCCTGGCAGATCATGAAGCTCGTATCTGTGCTAGGAAAAGCTCACCCGTGATCACCAGATCAGCATTGGGTGCACCCAACTCCAACGTGCCTGGTTCAGAACCCCTGGTTAAAAATTGCTCTGACCAAAGCCTATTTTCCTCCTGGCCAGAGACGACAGGTTTCCTGCAGTGGTGGAGACCCAAATGCAACAACCTTGTGCTAATATATGGAGAAGAAGGATTGGACTGTAACCAGAAAGTGTAAGTGAACAGGATGAGCCTGCTGCAAATATCAAACAGCCTGGCCAGGAGCTTGTCAGTGAAGCAGTTGAGTTTTTTCAGTGCTAGGGCTGGTCCCATGTCACTGAGAGTGCAAAGGTCTTTGTAGAATAGGGCTTGCTATAATTTAAGCTGATATGCCAGGTACTATTGGCTGTACCTGGAAAAAGTAGCCAAATGGTTTAATTTGAGCAGTTGGTACAACATTTTTGTATGGACAGGTTCACTTTTCTCCTCTGTAGACATGCATGCTTGTCTTCAGGGTTTTCCTCTCAAGAAAAAATTTTGGAGCGGAAAGGGCTTTTAAAAAATGGGTGGGCTGACGACCTGATCTGAAGCCTGATGAAGAGATGCCCGCAGGCAAGACTGAGTTGTGGAGCCGGCATCCCTCTTTTTCCCTATCTGCCTTCCCAATTGAATTTGGACACTTGGTAGGAGTGCCCAGGGATTTATTTCCCCACCCAACTCCCAACCAAGACAGGGGGTGATGGAAGGGGGAAAAGGAC